ATCTGTAACTCGAGTAGAAGCTCTTGATTGAATTGAATTTTCGGAGGAGTAATTTGAGAGGAAGAGAAAAGAGGACTGCTGCTACGGGAAGAAATATCGACGTATGCGGAAAATCTTAGGGCTTAATATATATATAAACCTATACACGTATACTCCTAAAGGGCTTTTAAATAATAATAAGAATACTTATTTGACCCAATTAACTGATCTGGGTATATGATTTTCTCCTAAAAAAAATTAACGCTAAAAGTATTTATTTCTTCGATTAAAATTATTAATATGAGCTTACCGGTCCATGTTATCTGCCAAAAACAAAACACGTTAAATAGTATATCACATTATTCACACAAATAACTTATTTAGCTGACTAAAATAAATAATGATGATTAATATATCTAGCTCGTAAAAATCGGAGTGTTACACACATAGCATACATGCCATCTACTACGTATGTTGATTCCATGATTACTTCCTTTGAAAGAATAATTGATCATGTATACTAAAAAACTTACCTGCAATAGGAAGACCAGAGTAGAGGCAGAGGCGCTGGCAATCTTACTCTTTTAGCTAGTCCCAATTTCAATCGGTGTTTGCCTCCCTAATCCTCCAAGTCTGTACTTATCTACCACGGACTGGAGTATAGCAAGCACAAGGTGTTTTGGTATGTCTTTGAAGTTCTAATGTTTGATTTTATGTTGTAGCTAAAAGTGTGTTTGGATCCATCTTTGACTTTTCTTTAGATCGTTGTATAAACTTTTATTTCTCTTATAATTGTTTGGGGAAGAAAATTTTGGCTTTAGGTAATTTGTGCTCTGCAGTTTGTGTATTTTTTAATATGAAGATAAAAATGTTCAACTGTGTATTAGGAAATCCATAGAGAAAACCTTGCAAAATATGGAAACTACTCCGTAATACGGAGTAGAAATTTGCAGAGGATGAACTTCGATTTTCTGTAAAAATGTCACTTGCAAAAGGACTAAACATGATCATGGTTTATACTTTGAGACTATTGTTGAGCTGTACAAGCATGCAATCCCGACACCCAAAAACTAGTGTAGCAAGACTTTTCAACTTGGAGTGTGCTTTGCTGGCAGGTACAATTTTTCGAAATAGGGATTTCCATTGCTTAGGAGATAATCTACTTGCAAAAATCTAGATGAGATGAATAAAAGTGACTTGCTACTGATGGTTGGTTTCTCATGAGTCATGAGTGTAATAATAGAGAGGGTAGTTCTTTTTTTATGAGCATTATTATGCATTGTAATAAATTTATCGTTGCTAAGAGTTTTTATGCTCACTAGTTCTGGAAGAGGATTGTTCTCCTGACTTTTGCCAAAAAATGTTATTAGTTTTGATGCATTTATGAATGTGAAAGACATTGAATTGTATAGTTGTAGCATTATTTTTATATGTTCTTTGTTGCTTTTTGTTTCTTTTGCATGTTGCTTTCTATTGTAATGTGTTTCTTTTTGTTGTTTGACTGTTGATTAGGCATGAAAACTCTTCAAATTGATTCCATCACACAATTAAAGAAAGAGCTGCCAAAGTTGAATTTGTGAAGAAGCACAAACTGAAATATGGCATAATTACTCTACTGGAAAGGAACTAGGAAGCCCTCATTGGGTCGGTTTTAATTTTTGAATTTTTAATTTTGTTCACCCCTATGTAAATGTATATATACTGAAAATCCAATTTATTGGTACATTATTTAATATTGTTATATTTTAAGGATAATTCTCATCTTGAATGTGGGAATTCATATTCAAAATTGTGATACTTCAATATGATTTTTTTGTTGCTCTTTGTTGCACTTTTTTTGTTGCTTTTTGTTGTATCATGTTGTTTTTTGTTTTATTGTGTTTCTTTTTTGTTGACCCTTGTATATTTATTTTTTTAATGTACATTTTTTCATTTTTGTTGTTTAATTAGGTTTATATTCATTTTTATTGCATTGAAATAAAAACCACATATCTACCATAATATTATATTTTAAGAAAATCCACATGAAACATGAATAAACAATAAAAACCAAAAGTTGCATAGTTTTCAACAAAGTGAAACATAATTTTCAAAAAAACAAAATGAAACATAATGAAACAACATCCTATAAAAACTAACAATAATATGCCCTAATTATAATAATTAATTTCTGTAACTAAAATATCAATTCAAAAATTCATACTCTGTATTTTTTAATTTTCTTACAACTTTTAATTCATTAAAACTTTCTACATTTTATATACTTTAATTGTTTCACACTTTTATTTTTGGGAATATATTGTACATTTTTCAAAATCAATTTACAGTTTTTAGTGTTTTTAAGTTTTTATTTTTGTGTTTAAATGTTTTATACTACATTTTTTATTTTTCTTTAAATCTATGTATTTATTTAGATATTTTATAATTTTTGTAATTTATATTTTACAAATGTTAGCCCTTCTAAACAGCTTAATTGTTATCATATTTTTCATACTTTCAAAAATAACTTATATTACAGAGTATTTTATATACTTTTCATACTTTCAAAAATAAACTATACTCCCTCCGTCCCATTTTGGTTGTCCTACTTTCCTTTTTGGGTTGTTCCAAAATGAATGTCTTGTTTCCTTTTTTGGATGAAATATGTGGTTCTTATCAATTCACTTTATTATACTCAAATCTCAACCACAACTTTTACTTTTCAACCACTTTATTAATAATTGTGCCAAATTGAAAGTGGACAACCATTATGGGATGGAGTAGTATTTTTTTTAATTTTAAGATTTTAGATTTTTTAAAATATTATTTATACTTTTCAGTTTTTAAAAAAAGTTCTTTTTCTTACACACACACATATCCCCTTTTATTAACTATATATAAATTTGACTTTTATACTTTGATTGTTTGATTTTATACATTTAAATTTGGAGTATACGTTTTAAAATAGTTACATTACAGAAAAACGAATTGTCGTATATTTTCTAACTTAAAGAAAATTATTTTTTAGTATTTTCATTTCTAATTTTTTTTAAAAAAATCTAATTTAATTCTTAACACTCTTATCCCTTTTCTGAGTTTTTAATTTAATTTTTTAAGTTTTCAACTCCGAATTCTTTGGAATTCATTTTTGTTTTTCTTAGTTTAAGTATTTTCGTTTTCTCTTCAAAAATTTCCAGTTATTTTCATTTTTTTATATTTACTAATTTTTATATTATTTTCTATTTGCAAACAAGAATTGAGTATTTCTTAAAAAGTTGTATAAAATAATTTTTATAGAATTGAGTTTTCTATTTCCAGTTATAATAAAATTTTTATATTATTTTCTATCATAGAGTTGGAACCTTACGAGCATTTCTTGAAGTTGGTACTTAGTGGTAGTGGTTCCAGCTTTCCACGAACCGATTTATGTAGCTGATAGACTATTTGTAAAAAGAAGATTTTCTGAGAGTCTATTTTTGAAAGAAATTTAGAAAGGTAACAAAAGTGATATTATTTTTACTTTTTTGTCTATTTGTGATAATTTTCCAACAAACTACGAATATTTGGGCTCACCCCACCTTTTTTTTCCCTACCCCACCCACCTTCTCATCTATCTCCCTCTCTCTCCAACTGGAAATTTCCAGTCACTGGAGTAGGGATGGACTCGGGCCGGGCGGCCCGAACCGGAACCGGCCCGGCCCGGTCACTGTTTGAACCGGCCTGACCCGGCGGCCCGGCCCATGGGCGGTTCGGGTCGACCCGGCCCGGTGGCTACCGGTTCCGGGCTCGGGCCTTCATTTTGGTGAACCGGCCCGGCCGGTTCGGGCCCGGTCCGGGCCGGATTTAATTTTTTATTTTGAATTTTTTTTAAGTTTTTGGGTTGGATTGGGTATTTTGGGCCATTTGAGGTGGTTTGGGGTGGTTTGGGGTTGAGAGGGAGGACAGGGGGTTGATTAGGAAAACCCCAAAAAAAAATTATATAGAACCGAACCGGGCCCGGCCCGAACTGGACCCGGGGTTACCCGGGCCCGGCCCGAACTGGACCCGGGGTTACCCGGGCCGGTTCCGGGCCTCCCCTACCTTGAACCGAGGCCCGGCCGGTTCAAGGCCCGAACCGGGCCCGGAACCGGTCCACCCCTACACTGGAGAGGAGTTCAATTCCGTAGATCGTAGTATATTTTATTTGAAATTTCAGTAATTGGTTAACAAGATTAACATTATTTTAAAACCGTAACCATTACCATGAATCATTTGTTCTTAAGAGTCGGTTAACCGTACTGTGACTTTTTACTGCGCAATTATCTTCAATAATTATTTTGAATGTCTTCCCGATTGAAGTTTTAGCTTAAATTTGGAATGAGTAAACTAGACTTGATGAATAAGATGCTCAAAAAATATTCATCAAAAAATTCCACCAGAAACCGCCACAAATGGCGACGACCAGACAAAACCTCCTATATAAGAACTTATTTGACCTTTTTGTGTAAGTTCGAGGGCCTATGACGGATAATGTATATAGGATTAAAACTAGTAACTACAACTTTGTACTCCGTAGGCCGTATCATAGTTCGTATATTTCAAGTATTTAAATTTAAAATTACTCTATGCAATACGCTCGTTGTAATTTTATTCCGTGATACTCGTACATAACACCACAATTTCAACCGATTTAGGTAATCTAGACTTAAATACAAAGAAAATTAAACTACTACTTTGTATGAATATTGGTGATAATAGATTATACACACGTTCTGTTTACACCAGATTCCCCTAATAAGATATACGCAGATACATGATTCTTGATCTCATTGTCTATAATTTTGTATTCTTATTTCTTAAATTCCTGTTAATGCCATGAAATTATCAAAAAAATCTAACTAAATAAAAGCAAAACAAACTAAAACCAAATAAATCTTGTCCTTCCACTTGCAAATGAAGGTTTTAATACTCCCTCCGGTCGAAATTGAATTGCAAACTTTGACCGGCACAATGATTAAGGAGTGACAATAATGATGCATACTTTTTACACTTTTGTCCATCATCTTAAAAGTAGATGTCTTTAAGTTGATGAAAAAAGTAAAAGGGTAAATTTGTCACTTTGTTCTTATTTACATAGCTAAAATAGGTAATGCAAAATCATTTTGGGACAACCAGAATAGAAAATTTTGCAACACAAATTGGAACAGAAGGAGAGGGAGTACATAATTATTATCGAAATAACCTTAACTAAGGGTGTATGGTTATAAATTCTGCCGAGTCCCTATCATCTCTCGTGTGAAAAAAATGAAATTCTGATGCACCCAATATTATCATTATATAAGTACCACGTACGTAGTATATAATAATACTTGTATAGTAGTAATAGTAATAATAGTAACAATGATTCTCCATATAATAATGTCACAAATTCTAACAAACCAGAAAAGCGTCGAACCAATCATATCCAAATCGGGTATCCTACCAAAACTATCCATACGGAAGATTTATGTATAATCAATTTCTTATTATAGGAGCACGGTTACCTTGTCCCGATATTTACGCGCATTAGCGAAACGAACCGCGGCCGTCTCTTCAATACTGAGATCGCCGGATATTCTCCCGACGTTTCTTATAAACCACGGTTCCAAATCCGACGACGCAGACGCCGGAGATGACACCGAAAGCTATGCCCACCTTCCTTCCCCTGCCGCTGGATTTCTCCTCATGCATACTCATATCCAGGTCATGTCTGTGACTGTCCGCTGCGTCTTGTGAATTCGGATCAGGAGACACTGACGATGACGGTGAGGACGATTTCGCATTCAAATGTGACGGTGACGGAGACGGAGATTCGAGATCTGATGGAGGAGGAGCCGGAGGAGATACAGAACCAGATGGAGGAGTGGAAAAGGAGGAATCGTTGGCGGCGGTTTCCGGTACTGGAGCAATCGCCGGAGCATCTTCGGCGAGAGACTGGTACAGAGCAAGTAGAGTAAATAGAAAAACCGCGCAGATTTTCCGGGACGTCTCCATTTCAGAATGAAAGTTCGATCCGGTTCCAAATTCCAACTGCTTCTTCGCCTTCCTATTTACTGCAATTCTGCGAAAAATCAAAACCAAACTGAACGAATTAGATATATTCATGACTTGAAAACGAAAATTGTTGTAGAAAAAGGAGAGTAAACCAGGAATTGAAGGGAAAACTGTAGTAAACCAGTGAAGAGAGTATTAGCGGGGATATAGAATGGAAGGGAAAGGGCGTGATGGAGAAAGAGACGGGGGGAGATCGAAGCGCGAAGAAAAGTGAGAAGTTGCGCTTAAAACAAGAGGTGCTCGTGGGCTCGTGGGTGGATTTGGTTCAATTCATCAATGGCCCTGGCCCATTAATGTTGTATTTATCACTTTCTTTATTTGAGTGAAAAGTCTATTTACTCCATTATTTTCGTATCAACTACTTTTATTTTTAAATTTTTAAATTTTGATTTGTCTCGATGCTGTTTCCTTTTCCCATGCCATTCCATTCTTAAGAAAAAAGTTTAAAAAGTGTAAGAGACTTGACTTTCTACGCACAAAAACTATTGAGAAAATGGTCAAATAGACTCTTCTAATATTTCCAAGACATCACTTACAACCTTAACTGAGAAAAGCATCATATATGTATGTTTACTTTTTAAATGTAATCAAATCATTTTGATTTGCTATAGCCGATTATTTTTTTTAAATTAATTAAAACTATCGATAGATGTTATAAAAATATATATAATTTTCAAAAAATAATTTAATAATATTATAAAATTAACATAAATGTAAGAGTAGATATATAATTTAAAAAAATAAAATAAAAATATAAAAAATCATAAAACTGAATGAAAAGGTAAAGTGAATATTTAAAGAATATAAAATGTAAAGTGTAAATAGATGTAGACCAAAGATTTGATTAGGTCAATCCAAAATCTAATTTGACACTATTCATCACATTCGATGACCAAAGTTGAATGATGGAAGGCCAAAAATGGAGACCAATCAAGTTGATATCAACAGGCGCGTGGTGGCGATGAATAGATGGGAACACTTGAGACTGATGTTAAACAACTAAAATGGACAGATGGATGGTGATCAAGAACTGATAAGATGGAAGCGCACCGGCGATGCCTGGGACAGACGACCGACGGTTTCTTATCTGACCTGGGTGGCAACGCGTCGACGCTGGAACAAGGGCAGGTTGACGCCGACTCTACTAACCTGATTCACTGGAACACTCGGTCGCCGACAGGAAAAGAAAAGGAAGGTGAAAGAAACATTGAAACAAAAAGGAAAAAGGGAAAAAAAAGAGAAAAAATGAAAACCAATAACAATAAGCCACGAGTCCGAGTTACCTGATAAATGGGTCAATGCAGGCAGGGCTGAGCACGGGTCGGGTTCGGGCGGGTCGGGTCTACGTACTCTAAACCCGTTCGGGTTTTTTAAGTTAAATACTAGGCCTGACCCTTTTGATATTTCAAATCGGGTTTTTTCGGATATTTGTAAGTCGAATATTATCGGATATCGGATCGGGTTTCGGATATTTCGGTTATATTAAAAAAAAATTATAATTGGATAATTAAAGTGTTTGAATGCCCTTTTGACAAAAATTCTACAAACTAGTGCACTAAACAATCAAATTACGCAAATAATTTAATACAAATTGCATAAATAATTACACAAATAATTGAACACAAGTATTAATTTAACATATTCAAAGTACACACGACATAATTTAATATATTTCGAATATTTCGGTTATATTAAAACACATTATAATTGGATAATTAAAGTGTTGGAATGTCACTTTGACAAAAATTGTACACACTAGTGCACTACACATTCAAATTACAAAAATAATTTAACACAAATTGCACAAATAATTACACAAATAATTGAACACACATATTAATTTAACATATTCAAAGTACACACTAATATATTTCGGATATTCGGGCGGGTCGGGTTGGGATTTTACAAACCCTACCCGCCACCCGATCTAGGCCCAATACTAATCGGATTTTCGGTTTCGGGGTTTTCAGGTCGAATATCCATTTCGGTTCGGATATTATCCGGAAAAAATTTCGGGTTTTGCGGGTCAGTTCGGGTTTTGCTCAGCCCTAAATGCAGGTCATCAGTTCATTCTAAGAAGAGTCTTGTTATACTTCATATTATTTTAGAATTATGCATATTTAGGATTAATAACGGAAGACCCCTAATAGTTGGGATTATTCATGTGAATTTTTCCTACTTTTTAATGCATTGTCTTAAGTAATGGAATGAAAATAGTAGAAGAGTTTATTTTTCTTTTCCCAAATCTATTTAAATAAAAAATGGTATCTCTTTCAGAAAATAATACAAAATGGTATCATGAAATGGTAATTAAAAGAAAAAAGCGTCTGCTTTTTTGTCTTTTTTTTTTAAACCGGAAGGCAAACCACCAAAATCAACGTGTTTTTTTGTCTTTTTTTTAACACATTAAATGATTGATTGATTGCATTTTCAGTTGTATTTGTTAATTTGTTTCTTTACTATGGGGTGTATTGAATATGGATTGTGGTGGACTTTTTTGAACCATGGGCTTCTAAAAAAGTCTACGGACTTTTAAATCCATAGACTTTTTTATTAATGAATTCTATTGATTTTTAAATCCATAGATAAGTTTATAGACTTTTGAAAAGTCCATAGACTTTTAAATCCGGACTGCCACTGTCGATTGTAAGAATTTTCACCTAGATGCCACTACCGATTCGCCTGTCCCCCTTCGTCACGGGAGTTCTCCGCCAACAAAATGACTTTGGTTACGCAAAGGAAATATGGGAAATGAATTATATTAAGTAATTATATTAGGGGTAAAAACGTAATATTTAGTCCTATTTAAGGACAAGCAAACATATGATCATACTTTGGTAAAATGCTACTATCTACTACCTCCGTCCCAATTTAGTTAGCCAATCTTGACTTTTCCGGTCAAAGGTGGTACACTTTGACTAATTATTTTAACTAATATATTTATGAAAAAATTAATAATTTTATACTTTTATAATAGTTCAAAAATATTTCAACTTTTTATTGTTCCGGAATATTTCTCGACAAGAATAAAAACCTTCGGTATATTCCTTTGTGTCGCTTATGGTCTACATATTACACCTTATTGTTCTTATGTAAAAAATCTTCTTCTTCTCCTCCTCCTCCTCCTCCTCCTCCCCCCCTCCTCCTCCTCCCCCCTCCTCCTCCTCCTCCTCCTCCTCCTCCTCCTTCTTCTTCTATTATAGAATTACCGTTCTATAATTCTTGCAACATTGTGATTTTTACACTATTCACAGATCTTACTTTGACCATGATTTTCTACTAATATACATAATCAAATTATTATGTATAAAATGTTATTAAACTTTTATCAATGTGAATTTCCAAAATATCAACTTCTTATAACGTTTACTAATACATAATTAAATATAATTACAGTCAAAGTTGTGCATTGGCACTACAAAAAAACATGCGTGTAGTCACGGACAATAGTCACGGATTTGGTCCGTGACTAGTTTGTCACGGGCGTAGTCACGAAATAGTCACGGACTTCCAAAAAAAAATAGTCACGGATATGACCGTGACTATGGCTTTGTTTGCAACCACTTCTGCTTAAATAAAAGCACTTTTGGGGAAAAAGTGATTAGTAGTAAAAGTTTGTAGTGTTTGGTAAAATAAGTGCTTTTTGTGTAATAGAAAAAGTAAAAAGTAGATTCTACACGGAAACCAAGAAAGTAAAAGTTGGTATTGTTTGGTAAAATAAGTGCTTTTTTTCTTTAAAAAAAGTTAAAACCACTTTTTTTAATGACTTGCAAACAGACCCTACCTCCGTGACTACGAGTAGTCATGGTTATATCCGTGACTACCATATTCCGGCCAACCCACGTTTGCCTCCGGCGGGATTTTTTTTTGAATTTCAAATTAGTCACGGATCTACCCGTGACTAATTCTGTGACTAGGCCCAAAAATAAATTTTCCAACGCCCAAAAGTTAACTCGAACTGGTAATTTGTACGGATGAACGTAGTCACGGACACACCCGTGACTAGTTTTTCCATATATGCAGCCACTGGTTCATCCACATAAACACACAAACTGTTTAGAAAAACAAACAACACATTGAAGGATGTAATCTACCCATCTTCTATCATTTTCCCTGTTTATGCAGATAAGGTATGTAATTTAAATTACGTTTTTTGTGTAAATTATTTGGTTCATATTAACTCTAATAACAAGTTAAATTAGCTAGAGAGATTATTAATTATGTAAATTTCATTTAATTTAGTGAAATTTGGTTAGTTAAACGTAGGTTTAATCGTAGTGACGCATTAAGTTAAATTAATTTGCTAAATTAGTTAAATTTTTGTTAATATTAGTTAAATGTAAATTAAATGCATTTAAAAAATGGTTTTAATTAATTAACGAAATAAATTAGTTAACATTAGTTAAACGTAGGTGTAATTCAAACATAGTTAAATGTATGTTGTTAAAAAAATGTTGTTAATTCATTAACGAAATAAATTAGTAAAAATTAGTTAAACATAGGTGTAATTCAAACATAATGAATTAAGTTGTATTTAATTCAAATTACGTAAATTAGTTAAATTATAGATGATATTAGTTAAATGTAAATATTATTTAATTCAAATGAGTTTTTATATGCTTAAATATAATTATAGGATTTGGTTATTAGCAATTATTGTTAATTCCTAATTTAGGATTTATAATGATTTAATTTAGGGTTAATTATTGAGACATTACTTAATAAGTGTGATAAATTAATATTGTGAATTATGTGAACTTTATTTAATTTAGTGAAAATTAGTTAGTTAAACGTAGGTTTAGTCGTAGTGACGCATTAACTTAAATTAATTAGCTAAATTAGTTAAATTTTTTAAAATATTAGTCAAATTTAAATATTAGTTAATTCAAAAATTAGGAAAAGGTTGTTAATTAATTAACGGAATAGATTAGTTAAAATTAGTTAAACGTAGGTGTAATTTAAGCATAATGTTAATTAATTTGTATTTAGTTAAAATGACGTAAATTAGTTAATTATTGGATTTTGTCATATTATTTAATTTAGTGAATTGTTAAATGTGTATTATTCATAAGATGTTGATAATTTTAGTATTGTGGATTAAATGCCATTGACGTATTGTTTGTAGTTTAATAATATTAATTGGACGTTAGTTAATTTTAGCGAATTTTAGTGAAATATAATATATTAATGTTCCTATACATAAAAAATTATTGTTAATGTTTATGAATTAATGCCATTAACGTAATAATTTAGTGTATTTAGTGTTGAAATCGTAATATTGGTTATTAGTTAATAATTGAAATGATTAATGACATTATATTAACGTATTAGTTGTACTTAATTAATTATATTAATTGAACATTATTGTAATTAATAATATTCAATTGCCCGTGAACTATAGTGAAATTGAATATATTAGTAATAGGCTACATATGTTGGTAATGTTTATAATT